GCTTATTTCCCCACACAACTAAACTATCTCATCTACAAGAGGCTCAATAGTTCATCCCTTCCCAGTGTCATCATCTCAAGTTGGTCATGAGCTAAATATGACCCAGATACTCTGCCCAGCTTCATAGGGAAATTCCCAGGCCCCATACCTACCCTTCCTCCCTTCCTCCCCAATATCATCTCATGGTTTCCTCAGGTATCTTGCAGGTGGTGCTCCCTGTGCTCTGAAGCAATGGCTACCCCAGAGGGAGTTGCACAGAATAACCTGGCACGGATGGATTGCAACATGCTTCTAGGATTTATCTCTGCTACTCCCCACCCCACCCCAAAAAAAACAACCTAACCTTCTCTTGAACTTCTCTATTTCTGACAAGGTCACTACCACATGGGGCAGCTAGGTTGCATAATGGATAGAGCACACAGCCTGGAGTCAGAAAGACATGAGGTCAAATCCAGCCTCAGACACCTAATAGTTGTGTGACTGTGGACAGGTCACTTAGCCCTGTTTGTCTCAGTTTCCTCATCTGTAAAATGAGCTGGAGAAGGAAATGGCAAGCCACTCCAGTATCTTTACCAAGAAAACCCCAAATGGAGTTATGGAGAATCAGACAGACTAAAATGACTTAACACCACTACCACCACATTTAAAAAAAAAAAAAAGGAGGGGGAAGGGGAACCATTGCATTAGGAATGTATAAAGTGCTATGTGACGTATGAGGGGAAAAGTTCTTAATAGGAGGACTAGGAAAGACTTCAAAGTTTACCTCAAACACTACATATATTTCACTACTGTTGATATGGACAACAAATGAGATATTTGTAAAGTGTTTAGCACAATATTAGGCACATAATAAGTATTTAATAAATGCTTATCTCCTTTCTTGCCATGCTTCCTTGGTATTCATTATAAGTCATCATTGCTTACACAATATATTTTTATTGAATTTTTCTGTGACCCTAACCTGTGACTTCACTGGCCAAAGGAACTCCCAAGGAGGCAACTTCCTCTACCAATGCATATCAACACATGTTCTGCAATCCCTATAGCCTGGGAAATTTAGCTGGTACTGAAAAACTGAGTGCCATATAGATCATCACATAATGTCAGAGCTGGACTCAAAACCAATCTCTATAAACTTTTTGATTGAGCACTCCTCTTAGTATTTTTTTAAATGAGCATGGATTCTTTAATATGTGTTTATTTATTAATTATATAGAGATAGACTACTACTATTCATGTAATTAGTAATTACATGGTAAAGTACATTTTACAAAAGGCATTTTAAAAGTATGACCTGAAAATAGTTGATCCTAGAGTCAACAGGAAGCCATTGGTGTTTAATCCAGGGGTGTGACATGATTAGACCCGTCCTTCTGGACTATTAATTTGAGAACTGCATTGAGGATGGATTAAAGTAGGGAGAAATCTGATGCCAGGAGATCAATAAATACAAAGTGTGTCTGCTGGGGGAAGTGGAGGAAAATTGTGGTCACAGAGAACTGCTGTCAGTGCCTGCATCAGGGTTAAATTATAAGCCCCTTGACAGCAAAAAATAAGCTATCAGTGGGAGTGGCGAGAGGTGGAGAGAGGGGTGGGTGAGTGTTAAGCAATAATGAGTAAAGAAGACAGTACAGTTAAAATCTATGATTGGCTGTCACTGAAGGGTGGGATTCAACTCAGCTTTCTACTACATGAGCATTTACAGTGCCCTTGAAGATACCCTGGCGCCTGGGCATACACAGTGCTATGCTACATCTCTGAAGTGAACTTTAATACAAATTATGTATCTTCAAACTTAATGGTATTCCTGAAGATACCCCAAGGCTAGAGTTCATGGCAGGAGGCATCACATGTGAACCTGAGGTATTTACTATCTGTGACTATGAAGTACTCTATCCATTTCATCAGTCACCCCAAATCACTTTGATAACTAAAACTATCCCATATAACTAATACTCCAGAATCAAAAGCATATCACATTTATTTATTGTCACAAAAAAGGGATAGAATATTGGCAAAAAAAAAGCATAAAACAGTTGAGAAGTATATTTTTAACTTCAGTTGCACATTTCTAAGCATTTTATGTCATTTCAAATCCCAAAGGCAGACATAAAAAAGTATAAAATTAGATTCTAATTCATCTAAAGTCTGAGGTAAAGAGTACTATTTATCTGTACTGTACATATACTAACATTTGAAATTTCCAAATTAATCACAATGCATTCAATTCTCCACAGTCTTTTTTTTATATAGAAATCCCTCAATTTGTGGGAAAATCTGCCTTTATTCAAACGTACAAGATCAATCAATACTAAACAACACAGTGGAAACATTTACCTCCTGGGGCAGAACTAACTTACATTAAGAGTGATTATAGGATCATAGATCCTATGGAAGGGCCCTTAGAGGTCATCTAATCCGGTCTGCTCATTTTATAGATGAGGAAACTGAGCTGTGACTTAATTAAGGCCAAAGAGCCAGGATTCAAACTTGTTAACTTGGACTCTCAGGTCAGCACTTTCCACTGCACCACACTGCTTCCTAGTGGCTAAACTTTGCATTTTAATGTGAGCCTTTTCCCAAAGTAGTTCAAGTTAACCACTCCTCACTACTTTAAATGCGATGTTGATTTGCAGCAAGTATTTACTGACCTTAAGGGTACAGCTACTAGTTAACTTTTCAAACAAAACCAGGAATTTACTCACTTTAAATAGGATACAGTAGATCTAACACTGGCCATAAAATAGGGTGAACTGAACCATCAAAAATAAATCACTAAATACCTAATTTTTCATAGAACTGTACTAAATGCTCTGGAAAAGCAAGTTCATGAATAGGTCAGAAACCTAAACAGAACCAAAAAGCAGTAATGTGTAAATGAGCAAAAGGTCAACAACATCTCTGTAGATAAAAGTCTATATCTGTAGATGGAAGGGTAAGCTAGCATATTTTGGAGGTGGAAGACAAGGTTTAAGTACCTAATAGGCATGATTAGGGAGAATGGAGAATATAGCTCAATATTTAGAGATAATTACTAGGAAGGAACATCTTAGAAATCCACACACAAACAAAGATAAGTTAGAAGTCTCTACTCAAACACAACCTAATCAAACTTATGGCAAAGAAGATCAAGAAAATGGCCAGAAAGCAGACCTAAATCTAAATGTAAAGACAGGGAGGAGGATCAGGGGAATGCCTAATATAGGAACTTAATGCAGTCCAGATAAGTGATGGGTGGAGCTCCAGAGCTCAGGCTCAAGAGAGTGCTCCAAGGTACCAGTCTTCAGCCTTTGAAACCCCATCTTCTCTCTAATTTTGTTCCAATGTACATGAACGTTTTGCAGCTTTTCCCTTAGCTTTCCCTGCCTAGAGCTCTATTTTACATCTCTTTCTCCACCCACACCACTTTGGTTATTCTACATCCCTGTAGGGAAATATAATAAAGTCATGAGGCATTTCTGATATGCAGAAATGAGCTACCTACTGTTCAATAAATAGCATGTGTTGATTAAGAGACAAAATAAACCTTAACAGAAAAATTGAACCACATATTCCCCAACTCTTTATCCTAAAAAATCTGCCTTTAATTTTTTGTTTTAAAATATTTCCTGCCAGATTTTCTTTTTGCCAAGCTGCTTTCACAGGTGTTCAGTAAGGCATGTGATAAGGGATTTAACTCCTTCAGGCTTTGGTAGGGGGATGTGATAGTCACAGCAATTTATGGAAGTTCTGAAGAAGTTAAAATTGCTCCCCAAACTGTCTAACTTGCCAGAAGACTGTAGTTAATTGGGATACAATCTTTACAACAAATATCAAGATACATAATTGATTTGATACATAAGAACAAATGCCATTCCTCAAAAGTGGTTTTCAAAAGAAAGACAAGTTATTAACAACCATATGAAAAAATGCTCCAAATCACCAATAAGAAAAATTCAAATTAAGTAACTGAGAGGAAAATAGCAAATATTAGTATAAGAATTGTAGTAGGAGAATAGGCACTGTAATGCATCATTGGGCTTTGAATTGGGTCAGTAATTCTAGAAAACAACTTAGAAATGTATACAAATGTTACTAAACTGTACATACCATCTGACCTATGGATGCAGCTATTAGCCATATGTCCTCAAAGACAAGGGGAAAAGGACTTATATGAACAAAAACAAGTATTGTTGCTAACGTGATGGTATAGAGTCACACAGTCACTGGGGGAAAAGGCTGATAATTTAGCTGTCTTCGGTTCAACAAATGTTTGAGAGAAATGCTTTATGAACCATACTCAAAGTGGAGAGGATGTACGTAGGGCGGGCATAACTGGATTGAAAAAGGAGCTTCTTCATATCATGCTTTTAATAGCTTCTCAAAGCAACAGTTAATTATTTCACTCCCATAGAAGCTCAAAGCACATGTTACACCTTAGCATCTCAAGTCATGTTTGTCAGAAGGTAAAAAACAGTATGTGACAATAGTCCCTATAAGCAATAAAAAAACACCCAGGATTTTTTGTGTTTTTCCTCCAGCCTAAATTTTTCCTCTTTCTCCTAAATCTTCAGAAATGTGATGATTCTTAGATCAATGGTACCAAACTCTAATAGAAATGGATGTCTGTGGGCCGTATATTGTCTTAGAAAAATCACAAAATAACATTATCTGTATTTTATTATGTTTTTATCTACTTTATTAAATATTTCCCAAATACATTTTAATCTAGTTTGGGCTGCACTTGGGAGTTTTACAGGTAGTATATAGTAGGCCACATCACAAGTTTGGCACCTCCGTCTTATATGACCACAAATAACTTGCCCCTTTCACATTTTTTAAAGATAGCAAACCCATCCAAATACCACTAGTTTCTAGTTAACAGAAAAGTTTATCACTTAGTGAACAACCAAAACCAAATCCAATAGAATCCTGAAGCTACTGGGGAAGCTGGGAGATTAAAGACTTTTAAAATTTTTGTCCTGGAAGATAAAATAAAAAGTGTAAATTTATTACAAAAGTATTTTTTGAAATATTTATTTTAAGCCACTGCAAAAACAAAGACAACTGAGTGCAACTGGAGTTCATCACTTGGAAAGTGAACATACCATGAAATTACTGAATAGCAAAAAATGCCACTGTTACAAAATACAAGACTGAGTTACATAAAGAGTTACTGTTTTCAGTATACATCTGACTCATTAAACTAAGGGTGTGAATTACTGTACCACTGCACAAATAACAAAAATAGCAAATCCAATTAATATTAAATATTATTCAAACCTAACAATGAACTTGTAGAACTATAACTTCACTTATACAAAAGGAATGTACACAAATGTTACAAAACATAATGAGAGTAGCTAATACTGTATCTCTCTCTTCAAAACAAGAACACAGTAAATGCTTGAAAGTTTCTTGCTGACATTTGTTATTCTTACTTTTTCCACCCAAAAGAAAAGAGAGGGAAGAAAGAAACCAGAAAAAAAAATTTTTTTTTTGGCCTTTTAGTACTAATAATCACCAATACCCACTAATTTGTATATAAACTTCATGTGCTGGTGACAGAATTTGTAATTTTGGGTGTTCTTCTATACCCAAAGGATGAACAAATAGCTCCTTATTTCCACTGTACCCTTCCCTTTTCCTTCCTTCCCCTCCCCTCCACAAAAAGAAATGGAAAGTTACCTTAGAAAATTGTAAATTTCAAAGTATGATATATTAATAGATTGAATTACTGACAATATCAAATCTTGAAGAATAATTTCTGCTGAACCAGCCCCTAAAATACACATTGATGAGAATGTACTTTTTTCCAAATGCAAAGTTTAGTTCCAATTCCTTCAAAGTCACATGAGTAAAGTACTCATTTTTATGTTACTGAATGGCACATTTAGTAACCAATTTAAAACCCTCTCAGTAGCAAAATAAAACTCATTATTTAGGCTAAACTAAACTTTACAGATAATTTATTTAAAATTTGCAAGTATTTTTTAAAATAAAGACACTACTACATATATCCAAAGGTATTTCAAATTTTTCCCCACTCCTTATCAAACCTTGAGAGTCTCTCTGTGGTTTGTGAAGGAATCATTTGTGTAAAACAAAGAATCTTAAAATAAATCAGGTACTAATTTTAAACATACCAAAAACATGACAAATCTCTTTTCATGAAAGTGACCATCTAAAAGAATCAAATCTTAGCACATACTTTAATCAGTCTGGAAATAAAGATGTACTAAAGCATATCTCATTTTATCTTCAGTCTTTTTAGATTTTTATTTCTACACTTCTTGCAATGGCTTGAGATGGAACTCAAATTCAACACAAGTCACAACTTTGAACAGGTCAGAACAAGTCATTACATTTCATCAGGATTTAAATCCCCACAAATTGGACATTTTATGAAATTAGAACATCAAGCAGTTTTTGTCATTAAAAAATGTCAATGACAGTTGTTCCAAACATAGTTAAAGAATAACCTAAGCAATCAAAATGAACTGGAATATCACTGGAAAAATCACACACACACACACACACACACACACACACACACACACACACACACAGAGGCATCTTTTAAAAAATATTTTTTGAACTGTGGGATTGATTGAATATACTGTTTGAGCCTTATTATTTTCTCTCTACAAAGAAACTTAAATAATGGCTATACTATCTACTTTAAAATGACTTCTATTGTCACAGTCCTGATATGAATATGAAATTTCCATTTTTTTTTACTGTTAGTAATCACACTTATTAACAACTCTGTACTTCTATAATGGATCTCTGAACTCAGTAATGTTCCAAAGAACTGTGAGGGAGGCAAGATTGTAAGCAAAATCTAATCTGAAAACAAGAATTACTGAGAAACCTACAAAAATCTCTATGTTTGGAAAAAGATCTGCAAAGCAATTAGTTACATCGCCACTTCAGAATAAAACAAATTCAGAATTTTGGTTTGCTGCTGATTGACTATTCATGTTAAATGCAATGACAGATTTTTTTAAAAACAGATATGAAAAATACAATCTAAAATATAATATGCAATTAACCCACTTTATGGTCAATAAGAGAAAATAATCCTAATATTTATAGCAGTCCACTGCTTCATCTCACCGTCTGAAAAAGTAATAAAAATTCTGCCTAATTTCCTGTGTTTCTCAGTCCAGTTAAAAAAAATAATTTCAAGATGAAATAAAATAAATGGTAAAGGTTTGGTCTATTTCAGCAGTTTTCCTATATAAAACAATCTCAAAGTTTGCCACAAATCATAAGGTATTCAAATACTTTTTTAGCACTTTGCTTTTAAAAAAAAAAAAAGAGCGAGAACTTCACTGTAATAATAATACTATTACTCAATGTAAGTGTTCTGAGAAAAGGCCATGCCTTCTATTCTGTGCGTATTTGGTGCTCAGGAAAAAAGACAACAGAAATAGAAGTAGCCACAATGAGGGATGTGTTGAAGGCCTTCTAGCTATCAGTAAGACTGAAAGCTGAATAAAAACTTATGATGTAATATGATATAGATCTCCTAATCTCTGGCTTGTATCAACTTTCAATTTACAAAGACAAGCAGTAGGAAACATTTCATCCAAAGGGTTAGTGAAATACTGTGTTGTAGAAAAATAGCACATAAGGTTTTAAAAAAATTTTTAAAAGGCCAATACCACATTTTCTGAAATTTGGGAAAGTCTTACCTCTTCTGAAGAAAGTTGATACCAGACTGTAGTGCTGTTGTAAAATCTGTCAATCAACTGTATGACTGTTTCTCTCTATGAAAAGCATGCCTGCTCTAGCATTGTTTTTCAATTTAAATAATCTCTATTTTCAGTATTATAGAGTAAAATTGGAAATTTAATATGTAAATAGCAACAAACAGAAATCAAAGCTCTTCTTATTGTGATGTCAGATTTTAAAGCACCTTTATAAAGTTCAACAGCGAGTTCTCCCTAAGACACAAGTGAAATAAAATGAAATCTTAGAAATAGGGCAAAAATCATTTGCAAAGCCAAGGGGATCTTTACTTACACGCACTCTTTCTCACATACATACTTTCATTCCAACATAAATTGGCAACATTGGCAAATCATTTGTTTTGCTTGATCAAAGATTATGAAACCTATCACTTACGGTGTTTGTAGCAACTTTAAAATTTTAACGTATCTGCTCTTTAATAAATTATGTTGTTCTGTTTCAAGCAGTTACAGTAGGAAGTTTGATAGTATCTTAACTATGAAAAATAAAACTATGATTTAAAAAGATTGGCCAAATGACAAATTTTTCCAGAAGAAAAAACTAGCCTCAATCTTATTGATAATTGATGTTAAATTAGTCATTAATACTATTTTTTCCCAAAGGGGCACATATGTTGCAAAATTGTAGCAAGTAAAAGTGTTATAAATCTTACTAGCCAGCTAAATTCTATTAACAGCCATCTCAGTAATAAAAGAGTATTCAATAAATCACAAATGCAGTTTTTAGCAGCACTACTGGACACAACGAAAATTCTGCAAGACAAAGTCACCTGAGAGCTTCATCATCAGACTTCCTTTCATATACCAATTTCTTAGTCTGAATATGACAAACACATGGATAGAAGAATAAATGAAGATAATATTCCAATACAGATTACAAAGATATGAATTGGATTATCATACTGTGTATATATCACAAGTAACTGAAAAAAGGTTATTTATTTACCTTCAACTATGCTAACAATGTTAATGTTTGTTAGTTACATTTTATCCTGCATATATATCTTTTCACTCAAAAGGAGGAATAAACTGTACAGTGGCTGGATTTGTTTTATGCATTTTCCAAGATCCAACAAAACAGAGGTTTGCATCTCTCCTCATCAGAAGCCTTTTCCATCATTTCATAATATTTAAGAACTGCCTGCAAGAGGTCTCCCACTTTCCATTCTTTCTCCCGTACTCTTTTTGAAAGCTAGCAAAAAAAAAAAGAAAACACAGAGTTAACCAAAAATCTGACAGCTACGAAAACACTATTTTTGATTGCTAAGAATGTATTGTGATGTATTACTCAACATCAACTAATTTTCCTCAAGCTAAACACTTTTCCAAGCTGCTGTCTAGAGGTCTATTACCAGGAAAGGACCCTGTATGGTGACCCAACTACCTAAACCTGACACTTCAAGAACTAGTGCAAAGGCTTCATACAACAGGAAATTCTCAACCTAAAGAATTTTGGCATACACTCAGTTAAGAACAAGAAATCATAAATAAAAGATGCCAAATCTTAATAAAGGGATGGAGATTTTCCTTTCACAACACAATGTGAGTTTGAGAGAGAATACACTTGAGGTTCAACTGAAACATGGTTTTCCAACTTAGGAAATTTTCATGGTCATGTAAAATATGACTAAGTTTCAAATAAAACTTCAATTCCACATTGTCTTCATTCTACTGGAGGGAGTTAAAATCTGCTGAGTGAGGGTTTTTTGGAAACTGAGCACCAAACCAGAGTGGTTCAAGGCCACCACTCTATTTTAACAAGCGTGACTTCAGTTCTTCTTCCCATATGGACAACTGAGCTAGCCTGGTAAAAGAGGCATGGCAGGAGCTACGCCTCAGAGCAGTCTTTGTTAGTCATTCTAGGGTAGCTCCTTCAAAGCTCTCCAGATTCTAACTACCCACTGGGACTATTATTCATTCTCTCTGCTACAGGAATGAAGGAAGAAAATAAGGAAACAAGCTTTTATTCAGAGTCTCTTATGAGCCAGGCACTGTGCTAAGCACTTTACAAGTATTACCTCACCTGATTCTCACAATTCTATGAGGTAGATGCTATTATTATTGCCATTTCACAGCTGAGGAAACTGGCAGACAGTTCAGTGACTTGCCCAGTGTCACCCAGCTAAATGTCTACAGCTGGATATGAACACAGGTCTTCCTGACTGCAGGCCAAGTACTCTATTCACGGCACCACCTAGCAGCCTCTAGGCTGCTCATCTCTTTCCTGTTTTTTCTACATAACCCTAACACTCCTATTCACCAACTTAAGTCAAAAATTTTTTAAATATAAAACTACAGACAATATATACTTTTAAAAGATATTATGTTGGCATACCCATATTTAATCACAAATTTGTTTTATCAATCACTCTGTGGGTAATTTTCCTATTTCTTTTCGATTTATATTTTATATAATGCCTTCCCACAGCCAAATGTACATTGTAAATATTCAATACATTTTTTATCCCTCCCATTTTTCTTCTTTGATGCCATCAAAATATACAGAAATCAAAAATGAAATATAACTATGACATTAAACACCCCACTATTAAAATAACAAATACTTTTTAACCAAGAAGAAATACTGAAAGAAACTGAAGACTATGTTATATGCATTAACCCATGAATCCCACCATTTTCCCCCATTGAATGCTTCAAGGAAATTCCACACCAGAATTCACTCAGTATGATTGCTATAGTTTTTTGTTTTTTTTTTTAATTTCACTTATACTAAAAATGATGAGGAGAGGAAACTGACTGTTAACACTGGCTGGACAAAGCAAATAAAAATCACCCCCTCTCAAAAGGTAACACGCGAATTATGTGAAAGCTGTTAAGCCCTGGAAGTTTGGTCCTGATGAATTTTCACTAATCCAATATTCAAACTGTTTAAGTTAACTTGGAGCTGTATCAAAAACTAATGAAAGAAAGACAATTATTAACCATAGAGCCATCTTAGAAGTTTGTACAGCATGCCCTAAAAAAAAGCAGGTGTGATATTTAAAACAGTTTGCAAGTTATATCTTCCCCATTATTCCTGAGTTCTTTCTTCACGAAAATTTGTAATTTTATGACTTATCTTAATTACTTATTCCTCCTAACAGGACTTGGTCTATTTACACAGATGCATCAAAACATTTCATCTCCATATTCAGAGCTCAGACTTTTTTACTGAGCTAATATGGTACTTTAGGTTAAAAAGCATTGTCATAAAGACTACCTTATTTGAACCACACATAACTCTATAAGACAGATAATATAAGTATCATTATCCCCATTTTACAGATAAAAAAACTGAGGCCACACAATTAGTAGACCAGATCATCTTACCAAGTTCTAGCACTAAGTTCAATATTCTTTTCATTATACAAATCCTGAATTTATTTTATAGAGATGTATAAAACACATCTCTATAAAACACACAGAATATAGTCTTTTATTAGACAAGTTTATTTAATAAAATCTGACTATTCGTATTCAGGTTTTAGAGATGAAACATGCTTTGCACATGGTAAGTGCTTAATAAATGACAGCTGAATTTATGAATTCAAAGTAGCTGAAGTGTTTGTTCAGTTCAAAAATTAGGATGGAAATATTTTCACACTGAAAAATACAAAGTGCAGATACATAAAGCCTTTTTGCTTGTATATCTAGCTATCTATACCAGCTTTCCCTTGGTTCCCAGCTTCATCATTACCAACAGAAATGTAAAAATGAAATGGCTAGTAAGTTAGACCATTTGGCTAGGAGGTGGGGGTGCAGGAAAAAGAGGCTTGTGCATGTGTGTGTATACACTTACAGCAATACTCTGGTACCACATGTACCTTCTAGCCCAGGCGGACACAAGGAAGGCAAAAGGTCCAGGTTCTTAAAAAGCTAAGCATTCTCAAAACACACACACCGAAAGAACTTTATACCTATTATAAACTCTGCCATAAGCATGTCTATGATGTTCTTTAAATTGCTAAATTAATTATAACTTAATTGCAATAAAAACACCAAAATAATGGTTATAATAATAATTGCAATAAAAACTGCCAAGTTATCATAAATAATAATCTCCTTTTCAACTAAACAACAGTAGAATTAATTGGCCTTGAATTATTTGTGGAAAAAGGACATATATAAAACAGAATTATTTTTTAAAAGACAGAAAGACAACCTAGAATGCAAAGTCTATAATATTAAAACATGCCTCAATACTACAGCAAGTTGATAAAATTAGACCATTAAGTCTGTGCTATCATATGGCACATCTGTAAGGCAACAAATATACCATAATATTCAAAATTCCAATACTAATGAGATGAACTACAAAGCTAATGGCTTCAACTTAAGCTCATCAGACTGGCCCAAGTCCTGATATTTACAAGATTAATTTATCACTGATTCAAATGCTAATGATATTGTTGATAAATTAAATTCAAAAAGTAGACTATTTTTTTCACTAAGAGGAGACCTGAAGATTTTGTTAAGAATATGCCCACTAACAAAGATTAAGAGGGTAAATTATTATAGTTCTGAAACAGAAAACTGCAGTTAACTCAAGTTCCTTGATTCTTGTTTCAGGGGGAACCTATTGGAGATACTGAGCCAGACACTGTTACCAAAACATGACAATAGAGGATGAACAGACGGGTGATAACAACAAGGTCTGCAGTCCTCTAACTGTACTCACCAGCATGAATTCTTTCTTTGCAGAGTCATGGAAATAAAGTTGCTCCACCTCTGCCTCAGATGCAGCCAGCCACTGAAGGGCAAGCCTCAGCTGAGAATCCACATCACATGAAGCCATATCAATATTCACTATTAGCAGTTTCTTCCCAACTTTCTCCAAACCTAATATTTAAGACAAAACAGTCAGGAGATGAAGCACATCAACCAAACTCAGATCACTATATTTTCCAAATATTAATAAGGAGGTTCCATTTCTTACGATTCTTAAAAAAAAAGATGATGGGAATCTATTTTTTAACCGTTATCACCAAAAGTATAAATCTCACAAATTATAATATTTCTTTTAAGCTAGCAGAAAGGTCAACTCCATTATACATTTCTTCTGCTACATATTTATAGCTAAACATATACTTTTGAAGCTTTAAATAGATTGTCTAAAGTGCTATGAATAATCAATGTCTAAAAGTTAGAGCTATGAGTCATACAAGTCAAAGAAAAAGTCAGCAAAAGTCCTACGAAATGAATTTAAAATAAATACATACATACATACACACACACATATACACATGCATACATATGTGAATTTAAAAAAACTATATAGTCAGATTTCTTTTCTATAAATATAGGTAATATATATTGCACAGGAGGAACCAGTCAATTCAAAAATCTGTTAATTCAAAAAATCTGTGTTTCAAATGGGCTTATACTATATTAAAATAAACTTCACTTTCATGCTAAACTGCTGAAATGAATGCACAAAGCAATTATTTACACAACTAGTAATTAAATTAGTTACATGGGGGGGAGAAGAAAATTCCTAGGAAATTAACATTCTGGAATAAAAACACACAACAGTATCATATTAATTGGAAAAGCAAGGATCAGAAAAAATTTATTTTAAATTAACTGGGTAAGAATTACCAAGATCTGCACTAACTAAATCTCTGACCTTGGAAAAGTCATTTAATATGACTAGACCACAGTTGTCTCATATGTAAAATGAAGAGCTTTGGCTAGTTTGCTTCCACCTATAAATATTATAATGTTAAATACATACACACGCACACACACACACACACACACACACACACACACACACACACACACACATATTATGAACACAAAGTCAGAGTTTTAGTGCCAGATGGGACCTCAGAGATTATCTAGTCCTAATTTTACAAATGAGGAAAATGAAACTCTGGTGGATTATGATTTGCCTAAGAGTCCACTAAGAAAGCAGTACTTCAGTGAAGGAGTAATAACCTAAATTTAGTACTTCAATATCAAGAACTTCATGAGCAGGCAGAGCCAGGACTAGAACTCAATGTTTCTTGGTCCCCAGTCTTAGGTTTTTCCCATTAAATCAGACTGAAGACCAAAAAAGACATACAAAGATATACAACTGGAAAGCACTAGTCTATGGTAATTAGGGTCTTGCCTATGTGACAGACTCTCTGTCTTGATTACACCGGTTACAAAGCAGGGAGAAGAAGTATAAAAACCATTACTGTTTTAATAAGACTTACTACACAATAAAACCATAATTAACTAGAATACAATCAAAATACTCAATTCATTAGAAATTTTCTGTTAGATCATATGAAAAAAGAAACAACCCCCTCCCACCACATATACACAAACACAAGCTACTTTCAAAGATTTAAGAAAAAAAAATTCATGATATGCCTTGGCTCAAAAAGAATATACTTATCCCAAACTATGTATTTCTATATCTATACTAAAAACTGACATTTACAATGACCACAGAGACACACTAAAAGGTCCTCAAAGAAAAATTCAATTTTATATTAATTGTATTATAATGTAAAAGAAATGCATAAATTTATTTTTGAATATTTTCAACAATGACTAAACCAAAAAAGTTTTCTGATTAATTCTCAACCCCAAATTCCAACAAAACAAGATAACCAATTCCTCAGAAGATTAAATGAATGTTGATACATTGATATGAGCTTCTATATACATTAGGCACACAAAAGGCATTAAAGGAGGACTCAGGAAAGCAGTAATAATTCACAATTGTATAGCATTTCCTTCTCCAGCTAGGTAGTGCAACTATTTTGTAGTGCAAAAGGGTAGTGCCCCTGTTTTGGATGAGGGAACAGGTTCAAAGAGTTTATGTGAGTAGTCCATGGCCACGCAGCTACTAAGACTTATAGCCAGGATTCACCCCAGGTCTAACTCCTGCTACTCCTCTGGATACAGGACTCTTTACCGAGGTCTAGAACTTCCCGTGATCGTTTCTGTTTCTGCCACTGTTGATCTTCACTCAAATGTTTGACACTATGCTTCCCCTTGGGTCCCTAGATTTCCTCATAATAGTATATCCTTCTTAGTATACAATCCAACTTAGTCCCACATCAGCACCACAACTTGTGGCCACTTTTCATCCAGTTCCTTTTCAACAACGACTAACCTTTCAAGAGTCATATTCCAGTCCTAAGTTTATAAGTAAGATTTTTTTAGATACGAAATCCTGCTGATATTTTTTAAGGTCAAATTGACTCCCGGTATTAGGATATCCAGTTGACCTTCCTTGTTAGTCATGCTTTGTGCATACAGGCATAAGCACCACAGGCCACGGGTTTTTATTGCTGGCTTTTATTGGATTTTGTTTCCTGTGAATTTCTGGGTGTGTGTGCTATTCTTTCTACACAGTGGAGATTCTCAAAGGTATTTAATCCTTTCGATTAAATTTGCAAGACTTCAAGCAAACAGATTTTCACCAGCCTTTATTAGGCATATTCCATTCCAAGCTAATAGCTGTCATTCCTACATCGTTGTAGGACTGAAAAAACTACACACGAACATGAAAATGTAACGTAACTCTTCAAAAATTTAAATTCCAAGACTATTTCAAAAATGACTCTTTTACCTGAAAAGACTGCTGACTCCAAAAAGCAACATCAAGTATCCATACAACATGGGTTATATTAGTAAGATAAATATTCAACTATTACCTAAAATAATATGAGTGTGGAGGGATTAAGTCAGGTAAACATTTCTGCTATTATTTATAAGCTGAAATTCTTATGTGGGAAACTAAAGCTATTTTACTATATTCTTATCTTCTGGTTGAGAATAAAAGACCATGCTAATGTTATGCCGTAATTATAATAATAAAACACTATGCCTTTGTGGTGGATTTTTAGAATTTTGGGGATAATTTCATACTTTGAACAAAATATTATGTGAACTATGATTACAACCAAAAGAAAATAAAATGAATTGCTTACAATTATTTTAGAGCATATATTAATATGGATTTAATTACTTTAGCAAGTACTTAGCCTACTTTATAGAGAACTTAAAATTACTTAAGTAATATTCAGTCAAGACTATTTTGGGACTCATGATATAATTTATATAAACAACCTTGATAGTGTGTAATTCACTTGTCATCCAGAAGAATACATGAACACAAAAAAAAAATCTTAAGAAATGTGAGAATAATGGACATGAAAGTATTCTATAAAATATTAAGTGCTATATAGTGCCAGATATTTTTAGTTAAGATCCATTACCTTCTATATCATGTTTATGTTCTTCATCTTTATCATCTGTTCCATCACTGTATTTTGAAATAAAAAGGCAAATATTAGTAAAATTTTAACGAACAATGTACAATGTACAAAGCCAGTTCTAAAACACAATAATCATGTACATGAAAATGGTAACATATACAATGTTTAAAAAAGAATCAAGAGGGGGTAGCTAGGTGGTGCAGTGGATAGAGCTCCGGCTTTGGAGTCAGGAGGACCTGAGTTCAAATCCGGCCTCACACACTTGACACTTGCTAGCTGTGTGACCCTGGGCAAGTCACTTAACCCCAAATGTTTCAAGAAACAACAATTAAAAGGAAGCTTTGCTTCTCACACCATTTCATGTTATAATCTGATCTGCCAATGCATTTCAAAGGATAGGTAATCAGTGACCCAGAAATCCTACCTTAATGTGACAAATATCCAAGTAATTTTAGACACAATTCAAATGCAAAAATAGTCTACAACATTTGTCTTAGATATAAATCTTAGAAGACAAGGCTTCAGTTTCACTCAGTGGTTTATATCATGCCATGAAGATTTATTTAGGCATTCAATACATAATAACATAGATCTTTCTCTTTAGAGTACAGAAAAGTTCATTTTTCTTACACATGAGGTCATCCATACAAAATAAAACCTGCATGAACTGAAGACAAAGAAAGAAAACAGAAATTCTGTAGGAAGCAAGCTCTTCTTTAGGAAATAATAATTGATAGATTAAAAAAGAGCAAGCAGAGCATGCAAAAAAGATAACTTACTTTGTAATTAGATGTCATTCATACTTGACATAGCCATATCTTATCAAATGTAAGTTCATTAGGCAAAAATCATGCCAAGATTACGAGAAAAGCATGTTGATATTCATGTGCATGGTTAACACACATTTATTTATAATTATAATTTCATGCATTAGTGATGAAAAACTCATCTGTTTAAATTTCTAGACTAGACCAACCTGTCTGATGTTGGAAAGGATAAATTCTCCTCATACATATCTCCTTCTAAACCAAGACTGCTCCAGCTACTGCTGTTACCATTACTGCCAGAGAAGAAGAAAACAGAGCTGAACTAGAAAATGAACAGTAGATCTAAATAGATCTTGCTTTTCCTTCAGAGCTGTTGCTGTCCTTATTATACAATGAGAGAGGCAGAGGCAGCTAGGTGGCACAGTGGATAGAGCACTGGGCCTGGATTCAGCAAGACCTGAGTTCAAGTCCTGCATCAGACTGTGTGACCCTGATCAAGTCATTTAGCCTCTGTTTGCCATAGTTTCCTCAACTGGAAAATGAGGATAATAACAACATCTCCCTCACAGAGTTGTTGTGAGGATCAAACAAGATGATATTTGTAAAGCACTTAGCAAAGTGCCTCACACACAGTAGGTACTATATAAAGGCTTATTCCTTTCCCCACCCCAACCCCCCAGTGATGTTCTGCCACTGTCAAAATTGAATGGAGCACCAAGCAGTCAAGGGAGGGCTGGTGTTATCCTGAAAAGTAATGTTTGGGGTGGGATTTTTCCCCCATTATTTGTTTTCCAGTGAACACAAATGACCCATTATAGAACAGCAAATGAAGGAACTTTTAAGAAATAGGTTCCACAGTGAACAAATAAGCTTCAGACAAATTTTTAACCAAACCATCTTCAATGTGAAGATGGTTTAGAAAAGAGAAAAAGTTACTAAAATAGAGTTTAGAACAGACTACCTTCTGCTATATTGTGTTGCTTGTTCTTAATGTTGTCTATGTAAAAGTACTGTAATTACAGAAGCAACCTTCAATTCCTATTTTACATGTAAATTAAGAGGTAAATGGAGACAATAACATTTCCAGAGCAAAAGAAGTCTGACAAAAATGAAATCACAAATGAATGGAGCCCATCTAATAAACAATTACTGCAGTTTTGGGGTTGGCTAGTCTTTAATATGAAACAGATAATTTGTTAAATCTCCATGCCTGCTACCTAATAAGAAGGAAAAAAAAATAGCAGTGGCCATTTCTAAACAGGAAAGTAACTGTGTTTTAAAACTGCAGCAAAGCAACTACAAAGAAAATGGCAACTGCACTCAGAAATAAAATTAGATGCAATTTCTTAACAGAAACTTTCAACATGCAATTTTAAAATCTGAGTAATTAAAATAATAATAAATCTGTTAGCTCGCAGTAAGCAGTTATAAAACATTTCTCAAACTAAATGAGATTGCAGAAGATATCTCTTGTAATTACAAAAATATTTACAAATACACTTTATTTCTAAAAACATGAACAGCTTAACATGTCACATATGTTAAATAATAAAGCTGCACAATTTTATAATCTGAAATCATTATAACCCTTTCAAACTAGCTTTCTTATAATTTTTAAGCTACTCCTATTAACTTTAATTTGTTAACTGGTACTATAAAGAAGTCTATGCTAATAACATCCATGTACAATAAAAAAGTTGTTCATTGCAGAGTATCATGGGAACATGTTGCAAGTCAAGCCTAAAATTTCAAGCGGTTTCTTGGAGCTGTGTCACACAATGAGCTGACACTAACTTTATACTTAATTAAAACCCTCAGATATTTTTCATGCTGAGTTTCCCCCATTATGAGTTTCCATCCTAGATATGTATCATTCAAATTTCAAAACTGGACAGAGCTGGACTCTATTCAAGGTACTGGTAAAAATGATGAATAAGAAGCAATAATAAGAACCCTGTGGCATACTACATATTCCTCCATATTTTTCATTGATAAATTAATATGCATTCTTTGAGCATGTTATCCAAACATCCACAAATCTACATTTCAAATGCCTTGCTTTTGAAAGTAAGCGGCTATGCTTTCTAAAGATGACTGATGAGTAATGTTACAAGAAATAAAGCCATAAGTTGTAAACTGCAATCTCTTTTCATGTTCTCTTACCTATTTAAAAAATAATGGAATGAATTCATTTTCTGAAATGGTTTTAAGAAAAAATAGTGGTTTTCATAGGTATAGTAAACTATGATCAAACTGATATACTATCAGTACTTGGCTAAATTCACTATCAAGCAGACTTTTTGGTAACATAGTACTTAAATAAACATCAACATTTAAACATGCACCTCATTCACCAGGATATATTTGAACTATCTCTGTGAGTGAGAATACGTGAATACAAAAGCATTGATTAAGTGCTTACTTGTAAGCTCCACACTGAGGGCCCCTCTTTTAACTGGAGAGGCCCAATCATTTCATGAGATGCACTGGCCATGTTCCCTTTACTCCTGGATCCACTCCTCATTCCCTAGTCTTTTTCTATCTCTTCCACAGCAGCCTATCCCTTTCCCTGCCCCTATCTATCTGAACAATGACTATAAAGTAGTAATGAGGGCTATAATTTTCTTATACAAGTTTTATATCCATATTACAGAGTAACAGATTTTGAAATGTATGCCTAGTATCTGATGAAAAACAACAATTCTTAGTGGAGTTACAAAATAATAGCACAAAAAGTGTACTGCTATGAGTATTAAAGTGGCAAGAGTTTGAGCACAGAGTTTATTGAATCCAGTAGTTTCTCAGGACAAACATCACAGAACAATAAAACAGCATCAAGAGACAGAAATTTTGTATTGTAAATGAAAATCTACAAACATAAAATCTTAAAACTACTTCCATTTCTATAATTATAATTGAATTAAAAGTACTGAAAACCTCAAAATGATAAAGAAATTAAATAAAAATTTAAAAATTCCTAGGAGAAATATATGATCTTGGGGAGTATAAGAAAATAATAAAAACAAGAAAATTTACTATTTACTATTTTTTAAGTTAAAGAAAAGCTAGCGTCAAAAAGTATGTTTTAGTCAGTGTTTCATAGGTTTTTATCAGGAATACACTTTAGGTAAGGTTATGAATAAGGAGAAATAAAATTTTAAAATAATAAAATTTTCTAAAATATTATTACAGGGGAAGTTGGGTATGATACAAGCACCCTCTGCTGTTCAAAATCATACTTGATTTTATAATGGCTACAGTTTTGCAACTTGCATAATATAAAGGTTATGAGTCATTTGTCATTTGGTAATTACGCTTTCTTTAAAAGTCCTTTTAAAAAAGGCCTGATTTCAACATATTGTATGTGAATTTGCAAGTTTTTTCCAGCTGAAGCTTTAAAGATAATTTTTCTTCCTACCTTCTTCCCTCCAGTTCTAAATCTGTGATCCTATGAGCAAGGGGAGTGCATGCACACATGTGCATGCTCTCTTTCTCACACACACTCTCTCACACACACACACACACACACACACACACACATGCACACACACAGAGAGAAAGGACATTAGATTATTTGGTCTGCACCTATGATTTCATCAGTGTAAGGAATTCCTGGTTTGGAAACTCCCTCCACAAATGCAAATGAACAACTCACCTACAAATTATAGTTTTAAGAGAGGTGAGTAGGGTACTAAGAGTTGACCCAAGTACCCAGCTAATATGTGTCAGAGGAAGGACTTGAATTCAGGCCTTCTTTATTCTAAGGCAGGACCTTTTAGTCATTATACGCTGCTAGATTTTTAAAGTCTATGAAAAGACTTTTTAAAAGGTTAAAGATTATAACAAACATAAATAAATTCTTAACTCAATTGTTGGCACAGTAGAATCTACAGTATTTGGAATTAATATTTATTAACAATTTTAAGTCTTCTGGTGTTACTCCAATATAAAATCCTTTCTTTAAATGTTATCTAATACCTTTTACTATAACATTACCTCAATATAATAAATACAGCAACCATTATGAATTATAAAACTGGTTAAACAGTGACAAACATTTCAATGCTGAGTTTTACTATTGCACACTGTATATTTCACATTTAACTTCTTTGATTTATAGAAAAATTAAATATTTTTATCCTATAACATAGTAATTGCTGAAATGGCACTTTTCACCCCATATCACAAATGTGAGTAATAAGAGTTAATTTTAATTACATGATTTGCTTAGTTACTGCTGCTGCTGCTACTACTACTACTACTACACTTGATTTTGTGAAGAACCCTTCACTCCACATAGTGCATTTCCTCTACTTAGAATAAACACTTGCTGCTTGGAATAACACCAAAATTTGCAGACATTTCTATCATCTACAAGGTTAAGGTATGAAGATTTTCTGTGAGTCTACAAGGAAGTATGTAGGGCCAAACAAACTAGGTAATTGCATGCATGTGTAGAATTTCAGTTACCTGTCACTGAGATGAAGAAAACTGCTGCTCTCATCCTGATGGTCATCTTCGAAACTTAGATTGGACCAACTACTGTCATCACCAATACTCAGACTCATCTGCTGGCTACCAACAGACTCAACTGACTGAAATCCTTCTTTTCCTATTGAACTAAACAGAAATTTGAATCAATATAGCATTCATTCTACATTATGTTTCTGCACCAATTCAATGAGAAAATGAATAGAAATGAAAAAACAAATGATTTGCGAAAGCAAGAAATGTCAAGCTATCTAACCTACTATTCTACTTCTGATAGTAGCTCAAAAGGATTCACAATAACTTAAAGGATATACTCCAAACAGCTCTAACTTTACCTTAATATTTTCATCTATAATCCATGAATTATCTAAGATCATTGGACTAGATGATTTCTAAGGCTCCTCTCATCCTATCTAATAATATATGACTTCTGTTTCATAATACCTGTTATACAAAGTTTCCTCAATTGTAAAATGGGAATATTTTCACTTGTATTCATTTGTATGACCCCTTAAGCACTATGAGGAAATATTAAATATATAAGCATGAAATATTATATTGAAAATATTTATATTTATTTATATAAAATATATTTTATTTATTAAAGTCCTATAAAAATGTAAGCTATGAATACTATCAGAACAATTAATAATGTAGAAATACCTAAAACAACATTATGTTTTAAGAAATACCTCTCATTTAAAAGATTCCAAGACTTGGTGATGAAGTCTATCCTCACATTACAGTCTTTCTGATTTCATAAACTTTTATCATATTTCCTCTGCTAGCATTTCTCTTTCTTGAATGAAAGGATCTATTTTTAAAAAACCTATTCTTACATGAAAGTCCTTTTACCCCTTTGATCATTTTATCTGTCCTCCTAGAGTTTTTTTCCCGGTTTTACTCTCTTTCTTGAGGCACAAGAAACCAGAAAAAAAACTGTTTGCCAGTAATCATATTAATATTTTGTATAAGAGTATGATTTTATGTTGACAATTTTTTTTATTTTTTTGCTTTATTATATATTTCCCATAAATACTTCACATTCTGCTAGCTGAAATGGACAGTGGATTGGTGGTTTCAAAGTATAGTCAAGAATGAAGGAGCTAGGCAGTACAGTGGACAGTGTTGACCTAGATTCAGGAAAACCTGAGTACAAATTTGACCACAGAAAATTATTAGCTATGTGATCCTAGGCAATTCACTTAACTTCAATTTTCTCATCTGTAAAATGGGGGATGATACCAATAGCACTGACCTCCTTGGATTGTTGTGAGATATTTGTAAAGTTCTTTGAAAACCTCAAAGAATTATTTAAATAGCAGTTATTGATGATAATTATAACTGATATTTCAGAATATGATTTAGATTTTCTCCTCCTAAATTGATTACCTTACATTTGCCAACACTAACATTTCTGCTACTAAACTGATCATTCTCAGCCTTATAACATGTTCCTAAATACTTGCATAAATCTGAGCTTCTCTCAAAAAATTTAAATTCATGACATCTGCCAGACCAAAAAAGGGAAAAACAAGTAAGACAGCCAGCTGATATAAGCTATGCAATAATATTAGTTATTATTTTTTAAAAATTAGAACAGGAAACTACCTTCTGTCCCCCAAACAAACAGAACCTATAAAAGTCCCTGCTACTGTGTGCGCATGGGATACAGAGGTAGAGGACTAGGGGCAGGGAACACTATATATATACTGTCAGAATTTTCTGATATGTTAATTTTGATGAACTTATTTTTATTCTATTTTAAAGGATTGTTCTTGGAAGGAAGGATTCAATGAAAAATGTACTTAATATAAAAACAAAAGTTATCAATAAAACGTATTTTACAAAAATTGTGCTTACTAGTCATTTGCAACCAGCTGCCCTTTCATTTCTCCTCTTTTTCACTGCTAGGCAGAATTTGAAAAAATTATTCTGACAACACATGAAAGCCAAGAAGTAATAACTGGTTCATAAAATCGGAACAATTTACATTGAATATAGCACTATTGTTGTTGTTTGTCCTTCATTCTCAAAGAGGACCATGACATCAGGAAAGTGATGCCATGACATGCAAGTAAATTATATTTAAGTGAGGGAGGGCTGTGTAAAGTCACCAGCCTCACTTTCTCCTCCAGAGCCATCTGGGTCCGGTGGAGATACACAGATCAGCACAACTGGAAATTGTTCTGGATGCAGTGGGAGACCTTGGCCTTTTTAAGTTGAGGTCTTTCCCAGGTCTCAGTTTGACTGAGGGAATGCCCATTCACTGATTAAGGCTAGGTAAGACCTAAGGCACAGAATGGCCTCTTTTACCTAGTCAAAAAAAAAAAAAAAAGGAAAAACACAGTTTGGAAAGGGAAGATCTGCAGGGTTTCTGGCCAAAACAGAAACAATTGCTATTTACATTCACTATGAGCTGATCAGGGCTCAAACAAGGAGCAAATGGGGCTTGGCCTGGGAGTATAAATGAAAGGAGAGAGTCCAACAAAAGCTTCAGTTGTCAAGTATTTCTGTAGCTCTGACTTTCAAGGAAGTTTTTCCACTAGAAGGGAATTAAAAGTAATTCAATTCAAGAAACACTTATTCAGTGCCTACTATGTGCTGGTTGTGGGGAAACAAAAATTAGAAACGACACAGTTACTGTCCTCAAGTATGAAAATGACAAATACGTCAGATGCAGAATGTGATGGGGACAAAGAAAATATCCAGAGAGTACTCTAAGAAAACATGAGATGGGAGACAATTTTCAGCTGAGGGGATCAGGGAAGAATTCATGGAGAAAGGAGCAGCCAAGAAGATCCCAGAAAAAGAAATGGATTTTAACAGGCAAAGACAAAAAGTCAATGTATTCTAGGCATGAGGAATGCCTTATCTTGACATGCTATCTCTCATAAGGGTGAGAGATTAGCATGTCAAGATCAGGAAACACCTAAGAGTACAAAATGGCATATTAGGTAAAGTGGAATAATATGAAATAAGGTTAAACCACTAGGGAGGCACCAGATTGTAGCACACTTTAAATGTCGGGATAAAAATTTTCTATTTTATTTTATAAGCTATCAGGTACTTCTAAAGTTTTTTGAGTAGGAGTGATTATGTGAAGAATTTAGCAGAAAGAGGAAAGATTGGTGGCAAAAGGGCCAGATAATGAAGCGATTATAATAGTCTATTCAATAATGAGGACCTGATCTGGACTGATGGAAGATGAAGGGTTGGAGATAAAGTAAAAGCAACAAGAGGAGCAAGACATAGCAAATAAGGTGACGTAGAGAGTGAGAGAAGGGCAAAGAGTCAAAGATTACTCAAAAGTTGTGACCTCCAATGTCATCAGATATTTACGTTGCAAGCAGAAGATCTTAGTCTTGATATTTTAACAATTTGAATACAGAAAATTTAATTAATAAAATGACACTGCAGCTGTATTTATTCTTTTGATATTAATTATTCTAGGTATTTCATATCATAAACTAGATGACAATCAGCTCATGAATCATATAATAAGTAAGAGTTGGACTCTGGTGTCAAACTCTAATAGAAATGGGAGCCACTGAACCTGAACTGAACTGAAACTGTTAAATAGAAAGCAGGGAGAAATAAAAAAAAGAATGCTGAACTGCAAAGCTCCAAGATGTCAGAGAGAGCATCTCAACCCAATCTTTTTATCTAACAAAATTATAGAACCTTGAGTCTGTCTCACAAACATCCAATGAGTTAAATAGTGCAGATATTATCCTGATTTTGCAGATGTAGAAATGGGAACACCCAAAGATGAATGATGTGCCAAATGTTACATGGCTAGTAAATAGTAGAACTAATATTTTAATCAAGGTTTTCTGCCTAAGACTCCTTCAACTCTACCACAGCTGCCTTTTATAAGATCTATCCTTTACTATTTATTATTATTATTATTCATAACACCATGCTCAGTTCTCAGGACAGAGTGCTATACAAGAATGCCTTGGAAAATGAATGAATTTTGCAGGAAGAGAAGAATGAAAACAGGCAAATGGGAATCAGCACCCACCAAAAAAGTTACAGTCTCTTAAGTTCCACTAGGTGGGGAGAAATTATCTAAACTGAGACTCTAGGTGCTATTTCAGAAAATGAGGAAAACTTGAAAGCATCTCAGGCTTGGTTTTTAGGAGCTCAGAGATCAAATTCCATTCTCCTCCATGCACCCCTCTCAGGGGAGGGTAGAATCCTCAGAAGGCAAAGTGCCCAAGACTCACTAGTATCTAGTAGCATGCTCTGCACATAGTAGGCACTTAATGTTTAATGAACTGAAAAAAAAAGTGACCAACACTTGAAACAAGGAAAGTATAACTTCTCATTCCATAGAATATATATATGTGTGTGTGTGTGTATATATGTATATTTTTATATACATGTATATATGTATATGTGTATGTGTGTATGTATAATACATACAAAATTTACCTGATGTTAACATTGCGACCAATGTTCGTCATAGCTGAAGTCATTATTTCTGCAGTAAGGCTGTCAGCAAAGCTCACGCCATCTTTCCCAATTCCACTATCAGCTGCCATACTGGTATTACTTAATTCTCTTTCTGCTTTTTCAATAGCTGCAGCAACTATCTTTTCAGCCAATACCACCTTCTGTTCAAGATCAATATGGATTCTGGGAACATCAAAGTGAAAAAGTCTAGACTTCTGACAGCCAGTTACAAGTTCTGAATTAGATACTGGTTTGTTTCTAGCAGAGGACTCCTGTCCAAAAAAGTACTGTGACGATTTCCCCATACAATCTTCGTGTTCTTTCAGGTTACAATACCTGCAAGCTGTACCAGAAAATGGTGACAACTTTTCAGCATAAGTAAATCTGTCAGCTGATTTTCTGTTCTTAGAAACTTGGAGAACTGCAGATTCCAAACTTATTTCTAAAGTGTCATCTACTATTTTTTTGGCATATTGCTCTATAGCTTGAATAATGCTGTCTCCATACCCATATTCATTTAAGCTGCCTGTGCTGTGGTAAAGTTTTTGTTTTGGAGAAGAAAATTGAAGAGATTTAGAAAATGCTGATTCAACATAAGCCCCCATATCTTCATCACATGTAGATTTTTTATAAAGGCAAGAATCTGTTAAAGATTTTGGCAAGCCAACAGTGGACATTTTTAGCTTTCTTGTGACATCTCGTGTTATGCTGTAAGCAAGAGAGTCTGAAAATCTTAACAACTCCGGACATTCAATTCTCTGTGTAAGTTTAGCCCTTTCATCAGCTTGGTTTTCACAAAGATGGCCTATATTTCTTTTGCCTTGTTCTTTTTTATCTATTTGATGCTTATCTTTATTCAAGAATTTTAACAGTTCTTTCTTACTGTTCATCTGTGAGCTTCGTACAGGGAATATTTTTCTATTATATTTGAGTTGGATTTTCCTGGCTGCTTGTTGCAGTCCTGATTTAACAGATCTATAAGCAAGTCGACTAGCATATTGATCCATAATTAACTCACTATTAGCACCTTCCCTTTTCAGAACTTGGATAATATGACCAGCATATTCATCTGTCACACTTTCACAGCTGGGATACTTGGATGTCAGACCTGACATGTAGGAATTCTGACATAATGAATGGCTAAGTGGATCGGCTTCTCTCAGCCACTGTTCAGACTGTGTATTCCACTTCTCTTTTGAGCAACAGTCTCTCTTTAGCCTCAGTAGTTTATAATGTTTTGATTTTACCATTTTCTTAGCCTCTCTGATGATGTCCCCAGCCACATCACCTGCATAATCCTGTAAGCACTGTAAAGTCTCATCTTTATTTACAAGTGTAGTATATTCAGATGTTTGACTCTGAACTTTTGAATGAGATTTTGTACTAGGTCCTTGGAAGCTTTTATTATGTAAATAAGAAGCAGCCATGTCAGTTGCCAAAGAAATTATATGTGTAGCTAAATTATTTGCATATTGAGCTGTTTTCTCTGAACACTCTGACTTCATATGCATTTCTGGATATTCTTCATCTTCACTGCTTTCAACTTCTTCTGAAAGAGACCTCATGAGCTTCAACATAAATTCTTCTTTTTCTATGGTATTTTGCTCATTTTCAGATAAGCCACTAAGAGACAGATTTCGAGGTGTAGAAGGTGGTGTAGCAGGTGCAAATTCTTTTGCTAATTCTCCTTTGAGCTTTTTAGTTAATTTCCTTAGGTTCTGCTCTGAACTAGTCTGGGGGGGTACTAGAGGAGTTGGAGGGGGGGTATCAGGTATTATATTCCCATCTCTGATTTTCTGTTTATCTTCCACCTGTGAAATGTCTTCACCAGGAAGCACTGTAGGTGAGAAAGTATGAGCAGGAGAAAACCAGATTTCTTGCCCAAAAGGAAGAGGACCAAGCACACTCTTATTCAGGTCATGTTTTTTCAATGATCTGTCAAGAGGCTTTATTGAAGAATCCATTGCCTCACTGAGTTCCTCTGTATTCTGTCCTTGGTATGTTACATCCAGACAAGGTGGGAGTGCACCTGAAGACAACTTGAGAGCCATGGATCCTTTATATTCTGGAACATAATCCTTTACTAATGAAGATATATCCTGAGTAGACTGATCTAGACCATCTTGAAAGTTGGTTGGCTTATCTGGGGTCAGCTGTGGCTCCTCTTTAAGGGCAGGCAAAAATTGTTGTTTCTCTGTTGTTTCATGTTTCTTTATCAAACTAGATACATCTTTTCTCATACTGCCTGAGCATGCTGGCATACCTGCACTGTGTGCCACATTTTTATTATTTGATGCTACAAATTTGCTTTCATCTATAGAGTGCTTTATAATATATTTAGATAAATGATCAGCAAAACAGTTTTTAGAGCTACTTTCACCATTCTGTAGAGATGTTCCACCATATGGCAAAGGGTTTTTTCCTTCTGCTTTGTCTTCCATTAAATAATCTGAAGATTCTCCAACTGCTTTGGTAACTTTGGAGGATGCAATTGCTTCATAAGTTTCAGTTACTATCATATCTACCATGGTTCCAGAGAAACTACTGATAGCTGATAGACCACAGGCTAATTCTGAACAGCTATTGATTCCAATGCTATTTGTTAATTTAAGATCATTCTGGTTATATGAAAATTCATAGTTATTTTCATTACTTGGATTGCGGTTTGAAGGCAGATAAGTATTTCTAAGACGAGCTACTTCCTCTTCCTTATTTTTTGTCATGAAGTACGTTTGAGTAGAATCATTGTACATTTTATGACTATTATCTGATGGCAGATGAGAACTTTCCTGACATATATTAGATGAAATATGGTATCTGCCAAGGGCACTCCCTGCCAAGGGCACTGGTATGGAAGTTACAATGCCAGAAGTACAAAACAAGGCCTGCTGTACTGTGTATTCTTTTCCGTAGTCCTGTACTGGATTCAATGCTGTCAGTACTTGATCATGACAAGTAGGAAAAGAAGTTGAGGTTTGTGTTGACTGCAACACACTTTCTGCACTGACATACTTGATGTTATCCATAGAGACACTAATTGCTGCTTTTGTGGTAAAAGTCACATCAACTTGTGATAGCTCAATGAATGCTTCCTGTATGACAGATTCAGACAAATCCTTTGCATATGACCTAACTACTTTGTCTTCATAATCCAAAGGTCTGTTGTGTGTCCCTGTGGGTGTTGGTGGATGGGAAAACTGGCACACTTCCATAAGGCCTTCAAAAATAAGTTCTTCAGCAAGGTCTGCTGCAAACCTGGCAGCAGTGTTAGTAAATATCTGCTTCTTGACATAGTGTAAATCTCGTAAAGCGCTGGTTAGAGCATCCCCAACCAGAAAGTTGGCCAAACCACTGATGGCACGCTCCTTCAGCAAAAATGCTCTCCGCCTTCCAATTTCATTAAACGCCATATCAAAAACTGAGGACGTCAATTTTACCGCTAAGCTACAAAGTGCACTGGTACATGAAGAGACTCCCTTCTGTAAGTCTTTAAAAGCATGGCCAAAACTTTTTTCCACAAGATCAGCAGCATATTTCTGAATATTCTCTTTAATCATTAAAGATTTGTGTTTTGATCTTACTTTCCAGTCAAGTGTCCTGTGTTGAAGGTCTACAGTTAGAATTTTTCCCTCTGTGGATACAAGACTATCAATGCAAGATGTACTTTCAGCGTGTCTGGGGACTAACTGAGAATGAAAAACAGAGCCGAGTATTTCACATGAAACATTGTTTGCATAATCAGAGTACGTATGATAAATGTTATCATGATCTTCATTAAACCTCTCCCCACTGACATCAATGTGGCAGTAGCATTCAGTAGTAGTGCAGCTCCCCAGAGGGCTGAAAGCTGAAGATCGGATGGGACTAAACAAACCACTGTCCTCCCCTGATGTCTTCACCGGGCGGGGGGAGTCTGGGACATCATACAAATTACTGTAGGGGGATTCTGGTTTAAGAGGAGTTGGTTTTCTTACATTAGCTGGGAGAGTGGGACGATCAAACTTGAACTTCTGAGGATTCATAGTAGTGGTAATAAAACAAGATTCCCCATGTTTGTGAACTCTTTTTTTGGATGGCTTTCCTACAACAGATTCCCATTTAAGTTGACAAGAAGCATCCGAAGCTTGTTCTAGCTCATCAAACTGATCAAAACTGTCAAAAAATTCACCTATTTCAGAATCTGAGTCTTCTATACCATCTTTCCCTACAGGAATCTTAGGCAACTCAAGTTTTGCTTTTAAGCTTTTTTGATACCCTTCTTCATCTAAGAAAATAACAGGGCTTGGGCTTGAACATTCTGATTCAGATGAATCAGCAGGAGAAGATGAAAACAGTGTTTTCTGTAAAGTAACACTTGTATCTGAAGGATGACATGACTTATAGAAACTCCTCTGAGTCCAAGGTTCAGAAATAGATGTCGTGACTGAATTTTTCACATTGGAAGGTCGCTCCTTAAATCCCAAAACATTTATTTGGGAAGGTGAAGACTTGGCCACTGCCTTCTGTCGCATAGAGCTAACCAGGACCTCTGAATCACTGGCTTCTAAGCAGTGGGCAGGGATAGTCTGTGAAGCAGCATCACACTGGCTCCGCAACGCAGCAAAGCTCATTCCTGAAGCAAAAATAAAATTATTTTTCAACAAAATGATTTAACTTATTTTATAATAGCTGACTTTAATAAAATGCATGTATAGCCAAAGAAGCACCTTTTGAACTTACACTATTTAACCAAAGTTTTTATCTTAAGTCATATGATGTGATTGTTTATAATATTCTACACTTCCTCTCTAAGTCTGAGGTCTACCAGTCTCAGGGTAAATAATAGTAATATTATAATTGTCCCACTTAATGAACATAATCAGGGGTGTGCTAGAGATAGCTCACACCAGTTTGAGAAAACTGATTGTTAAATTTCCTGTGTGAATTATTTACACCTCAAAAAATCAGCAAATGCTACAAATTAGGGTTTGATTTACTGTTTTGCTAATTGTCTAGACTTAAGAAAACTGATAAAGAAAATGCTAATAATGCAGATTAAACTTAAGTGTTTTATGCATACATTTCCCCCTGGAGAGCTGGTTATTCAACATTTGCCAGTATACCACTGATTTTAGTGGATTTTGCTACAGAATTAAAACTTTGAAACTTGTGACATCACAGTAGTATCACTACCTAAGAAAACATAAAAATAGAAAAATTAACATATGGGCTTCACTGAAGAGTTGCAAATTTGGGGAAGTAAATTTTCCAGAGTCAGGAAATATCAGTCGATTAATCAAAGGAAAAACTGTCTTCTTAAAAAACGTCCCGTTATCCCTGGAATGCTACCATGTATCTCAAGAAAACATCCCAAAAAACTTGCCGTCACTGTGCATCTTCGAAGGCTGCTCTTCATCCAGCTGTTCAAACGCAGTGACAAAATCATCCTCAATAGAAGACACCGACTGATTAGTGTCATCATCATCTCCATGAGATTTCTCCAGCTGCCGTTTCTGACCTAAGTATGCTTCCAGGGCATATCTGACGCCTGTGGCATATTTGCTTAGTAGATTAAATATGAAGTCATCTCTGAGTCTTGGGAATGTTGCTGGAGATACTCTCATCACACAAAGCACACTGGAAAAATGATTCTTGGAGAAGACAAGAAGAAATTTCAAATATTATTTTCCAATATTTGCCTGTAATGAAAGTCTAGAAATAATACAACTAAAGGGGAAAGGATGCTTCCCAAGTAGCAGCACACTTTTCTGCTAATTTCCAACATTTCTGCTTACTCCCTTCTCTTTTTCTAGAACTTATCCTCATTTCTCTTCCTTTTCTTATATATATTTCTCTATGATCCCTCTCTATCCAGACCACCTATAAAAATGCTAATCCCTCAGACCTAATTAAAATCGCTCTTCTTCCAGACTCTCAAAATCACCTCAAGCTAAAGAGATCTTTCCAATCTGTCGTGGAAATTATCACTTGTACCATTCATTTGAAAATTATGTACCACTCTGCAACAATTATCATATTGTTATATTAAATTATCATTTATCTCTTGTATCATGATTTAATTTTTCACGTGTTTTATGGATTGTCTCCCCAATTAGAATGTAAGTTCCTCAAAGACATCATCTAGCATGGTGTCACACATACAAGTAGATTTTACACATATGCTGAATGAGTAGCCTCATCTATGCACCTTGGTTAAACTGGGTCATGGGGACATGGAATAGATACTGGACCCATATCATTGACATAGGAAACTCAACAATGAGGAAATTCTCTCTACCACTGCAAACCAACACCTTCTCTGTAACTTCAGAGTCTTACAGAGTAGCCTAGAACACTGAGAAATTAAGGAACTTTGCCAGGGTCACAAGGGTGAGGGGAGTCAGTGTCAGAGGTAGAACTTTAACCCAGCTCTTTTTAGCTTTTAGGTCAGCTCTCTACCATTATGACATACTGCCTCTCAGGGTCAGCCAGAGCAAATAACCACATCACCAATACGTCAACTCTCATTAAGCCAAATGTCATTTTTTCCATTATTTCTCATAAAAATTCTTCTAAAACTTAAAACATTTTTGTTAATATAAAATATTTAAGATAGAAAATACATTTCTGGAGTGATGACAGGAGACTGGTAGGCAAAGAGGTTAAGGTGCAAATGGCACTAAGAATCACATGGTTTTTAGACCAACTACAAATGTTAACTTAGATACTGATACTCAAAATGTAAGATCCTTAACCACTGGCCAACCAGGGGGCATAAGATTGAAGGAAGTGAATTATCAGTGCTGATATTATTTATTAATAGCTAACATTTTTACAGTGCTTTAAGGTTTTACAAAATGCTTTACAAATATTATTTCATTTTATCCTTAAAAACAACCCTGGGAGATAGGTACTATTGTTATGCCCATTTACAGATGGAGAAATTTAAGCAGCCAGTGGTTAAATGATTTGCTCAGGGTCACATATCTACTAAGTGTCTGAGGCTCAATTTGAACTCAGGTTTTTCTGACTCAAAGTCTAGTGCTCTATCCACTGCACCACTTAACTGTCTAAAAATGAAATAAGACAGAAGGAATTTGTAGCTAAAAGAAAAGATGGCTCATGAGTTCTTTTAGAAGCAAATAAAGAAGCTGATTTTTATCATAAGTCCAAAAGCAATAAGAATTATTTCCTAGCAACTCGGCTCACCTGTATTTGCAGTATTCAAAAGTATAGGGTGTCCCAAAAGTCTGAGTATAGTTTTAAGTTATTTGAGCTAAAATTTGAGTCTCGGTATTAAGACGTACAAAATAATTATAGTTTATGTGCCAAAACTTTTGCAACAGACACGGAGGTAGGAAAATTTCATGAAGAATATAATTAAACCTTCCAAATTAAATAAACATATCCTTAAATGCTGAGAAACTTCAATGTAAAGGTGGGTATGGTGGAGTTCAACAAAAATATGTTGGAAAATCTGGTTTGAGAATTAAGAAAACAGGAGAAACCAAAGACTTGTAAACTATGCAAAAGCCTCATGTCCATGTATTATGAATATCTTCTGTTAGAAAAGTCAAAGACACTAGACTCAGCAAGTACCAAATGACATCTGTGAGAGTCATTCCCAAGTAAGCTGTTTCTGTAGTCAGACCACTGACTTGTTAGAACAATTATCAAAATCAATATCAAGCAAAAGAATAAAAATAATAAGATGCATCACTGGGACAACTCTAACCTGACCTAACAAGCTGAAACTGAAAGATAGGCAATAAATAAAGTCACACATTAACATAGATTATTACCATGTTGAAAAGAACTAGTTGATGTAATTCAGTCCCAATAACGAAAAAAGCAAGAGCCTTTGCCCCAACCAAACACTGCATCTCTTGTGAAGAGGAGGGCCATAGCAGCCTGAGACAATATCAACTTAGAATGCAATCTCACATGTAAAGTCCTACAAAGGGTGGCAGAAGAGCAAGGAAAGGAAAAACAAGTTCTCAGAGACATTGATGAGAGTTCCAGCAAAAGACAGTGACTGGGCATAAAACAGAAAGGCACTCTCAAGATTTCTGTCATCAAGGTTTTTAGGCGTCACAGTCAGGAGAACCACCACACCTGCCATTTAATATCACAGATGCAGATGTGCTGTGTATGGAAGTATGGAAGAAAACAAAGAGGTAAAGAGCTGATGAAGTCTTCACTCAGAGGAGGCAACACAACTTAGGAAGCAATTCTCAAGTTACACCGAAGAGGGGAAGTGCAACAAAAGCATAGAGAAAAATCTGAGACCTTATTATTACCCCCCCCCCAAAAAAGGTGAATGAAACAAAATTAATGACTACTGGTCTTCTTTCTGTTTTTTCATCTCTTATAAATTCTTTTGAGATTGATTTACACCCACATGTACATGCCAATTGAACATTTTAAATGAGATATCCTGGAAATTTCTAAAACATTACATCTCTAAAACAAACCTCATTAACTTATCAACCAAAACCACCTTCTTCTTCCAAATTTCCCCATTTCCAGTGAAGGCACCCCTATTCCCCCATTGTCCCAGTTTATTAACTTGGCATTATCTTTGAGCCCTCGATCACCTATACCCCCATATCCAATCAGTTGCCAAATCTTGTTGAATGTACTTCCATTAACACCCCACTCTCTACTCACACAGACACCATCTTAGTTCAGGACTTCACATCTTGCCAAAAATAATGCAATGGACTCCTAATGTGTCTATCTGCCACAAGTCTCTCCTCATTCTAATCCATCCTCCACCCATGTGCTGAAACAGTTTTCCTTTACTATGTTACTCACTACTCAATAAATTATAATGGTTCCCCACTATCCATGGGACAAAACATAATAAACCTACCTTTCCAGCCTAATCACACATTATTACCCTTAATATACTCTACGGTTCAAAGTGCTCTTCACATAACAGCACTCCAGCTTTTGTCTCCACACCTTTGCACTTATTAACTCTCATCTTAGGAATGTACTCCCTCCTCCACTTCAAAGAACCCCCTTTCTTCCTCAAAATATAGCTCAAGCATCACTTTCTTTATAAAGTCTTTCCTAAATAAAATGCCCCCCCAGATGCTAGTAACTTTCCATCCATAACATCTGGTGTTGATTTTTAAATTTATTCTTGACAAATTTAGATGTGTACACATTGTCTCCTCTGACAGAACATAAACTCCTTCACAGTAAAGATTATTTCATTTTTTTTCCTCTCTATCTCCAGCAACAAAAACAGTGCCTGGAACATAGTAGGTTTTTAATAAATAACTTATTGATTACAACTTCTCTACACTTTGGTAGACAGTTTTCATGAATTAAAACCAAAATAACCTGGCCACGACCTGATAGTCAATGTTATGGTGATGACACTCTCTCAACTTATTAGGCTAATCTCAACATGACAGAAATATAGCAAATTCAAAGTTTTTCCACCTTGGTAGGACCTACCAGAGTGTGGACTCCACTAGATAGCCTTTGAGAACTTTGGGTCATCTTTATACCATGATGAAGTATCAAGATTAAGAATTCTGTGAATGCAGAACTATTAAATATATGAAACATACCAACATTCTAGATATTAAAAATGACATATCTTTAATTACACAAATAGGGATAATGATTGGACCTGTCATTTCATTGGTATAAGGAGGTCCTAGTGAAGCACTTCTGCTACCAATGCAGGTCCTCACCTTCCTTGCTATTTAAAGTCTTGGAAAATTACCTGGAGCATTGTGCAGTGAAGTGGCTTGCCCAAGATCACAAAACACTGTACAACACTAAACAACAGAATTATACAATGACACTATACAAAATATTTACCTCATTTCAACCACTAACACTACAATGAAGCATACAAGTGTGATAGTTAGGTGTTAGACCCATGCTCTAAGAATTTACTGTAACCCTAATGGACATGTAGTACATTGGAATGGAAAAAGAGTAAGAGAAGGAATCAGAGACCTGGGTCTGTGAGTCTGTGAATCCTAGTTACTAACTGTAGGATTCCAGGGCAGCCTACATAATCCCTCTGAGCTTTAGTTTCCCCATTTGTAATGTAAAGGAAATAACACATACTAATGTTGTGCTATCTACTTCAGATGGCTGCTGTGAGAAAAGTACTTTGTAAATCATAAATATAAGCTATTATTAAATGTCTGTATAATATAATATAAAACAAAATATGAAAGGACACAAAAAGTATTAAAACATTATTAAGAGTTCAGAAGTAGGGTCAAAATGGGTACACAATTTAGATATAAAGGCTGATACCATAAGCAAACTGGGAGAGCAAGGAATAGTTTACCTGTCAGATCTATGGAGAACAGAAGAATTCATGACCAAACAGGACATAGAGAACATTACGAAAAGCAAAATAGATAATTTTGATAATATTAAATTGAAAAATTTTTGCACAAACAAAGCCAATGCAACTAAGATTAGAAGGAAGGTAGAAAATTGGGAAAGAATTTTTACAACCAGTCTCTCTGATAAGGGCCTCATTTCTAAAATATATAGAGAATTAAGTCAAATTTATAAGAATACAAGCCATTCCCCAACTGATAAGTGGTCAAAGGATATGAACAGACAGTTCTCAGATGAAGAAATTAAAGCCATCTACAGTCATATT